CCGAGCAAACTTTAGCTTAGATGCCAAGGAATTTGAAAACAACGGAAACGGCTAAAACCCTAATTATAGAGTTACAGACCATAAAGTTGTTCCACTTTCATGCGAAACCACCTCATTACTTCTCATGACCCACGAATCTACTTGGTGTTCTGTTCGTGCAAGCAATGCATGGCCTCGTACTGCACTGCATAGTAGGTCTTTGATTGGGTGCTAGCTCAATATTAGAGCTGCTGCAATCGTAAGCTCCACCATACTCGACTCAGCTTGCTATATGATCTTAAACATGACTGGGTCAGTAGGATTTTACTTGTTCGTAATACATGACTATGGCAGTAGGACCCTTATATGTTAAGCACTGAACTGTACCTCTGTATGATCTTTGATCAGTTTGTACTATGTGTCCCATCCCATCACAAGAAAAAAAATGTACTTAGTACAGTGTTGCCAGCAAAACATGATTAAGAGTCTTGGCATGAACAAAATGCTTGTGTACTGTACTGAGAGAGAAGAGTCTTTGAATATTATTGTAGTTTGGTGACCTTGGTGATATCAGTTCATTAAGTACTCCCACCTCCCCACCCCCTAAGACCACTCTCAGCATGCATGTATAAATAAAGAAACCAGTTTTTTTTTTATTGCCAATGCAAACCATTGTTCATCTCTATGTGTTCTGTGGGGTCAAAATCTGTTAGATCGCGCTATTGTTAGGTAGTGGTCGTCAAGATTCAGTCTTTATTTCTTGAGATTGGACATGCCACCATTTCTGGTGCTTTGCTTGCACTGAGCTGTCCAGAGTTCCAGACTTCTAAAGTGAACTAGACACTTCCAGCCTTATTGATTGAAGGTAGCTTTCCATCAGATGCTATAACAGTACTTCCTGATTGGAGAGTGGAGACCTAGACTGCATAGCACAATCTGGAGCGTTAGTTGTTGTTTGTCATACTTCCTAACTACCAGATGCTATAACAGTACTATTTTGTTTTTTATCTAGTTTATCCATCTGAGACCTTAGCTTTCTAGTCTGTTAGGACTGTATGCAATTATGTATTGTGGAATAACGGATCTGTTTGGTTATAGCAGCGGTAACGCAAATGGAATGGAATTAAAGCTATGGACGTTACCGCCAGCTAAGCCATTTGAACTACTTTTATTTCCATTTACGTTACTGCCGTACGAACCAAACAGCACGAACATGGCTTTACTACATTTTCTGGATAGATACCCTTGATGTTCATTAGTAGACATTTTTTTGTTGGAATTAAATAGTTAGAAGATTCATCCAAACTAGTATGATGGAAGTGCTATAATATATATTTTTTTAATTGATGATATTTCGTTCATAAATTCTACTCTTTACTCTTGAGCAGCACCTTAAAAGTTAATCGGTATGTAAGAAAAGAAAAATCTAAAGCAACAGGCACAGTTCCTACATCAACGAACTTCTGTTTTCTTCTTTTTCTCATATGAGTATGATTGAAACTATCGGAGATGATTGTATGCCTCCACATACATAAGTACAGCTATTATTGTTGTTTATGCGTCCAGATTGCATACAAAGGCATGATATATTACTGCATAATCAAGTGCGGACACTGTCAGATATTAATATCCATCATGTTGTTAGTACGCGAGACACTCGTTTCTCAGTGTTTGCAGTACAGATTGGGCATTAACATAAATGTCAGACAGTACAGATTGGTCATTAACATCTATGCCGGATTCTAATCTTCTTTGTTTGTCCACCTGCAGTATACTGAAGACATCCAATTGCTGGGACCCGTTCCGGCAAGAATTCTCTTTTGGAGCTGCTACCGTTTGTTGCGGTGATGAATATCAGATCACCATCAACCATCCATCAGCCCTAGCTGCTGCCGTTGATCAAACAATTCTGTGCTTTCTTTTTTTCTTTCATTTCCTTCCTAGATGCTGTTGTACAAATTTTGTGGGAGATGAGAGTTTAAACAAGTCGTTGTAAGAGTGCTCGGTAGTCGCGGTTCTAGCCCTCCCCGCGTCTAACTGCTGGTCTAGACTATTCTGAAGTTTGGATGAACAGGTCCACTGGACTTGGACAAGCATTGTGGTCATATGCCCTGTTCGTTTGGTTTGCGAGATATCCCTGATTCAGAGGCGCTGCCATGGCTGTTTCTAGGCGTGATGAATCATTTGTCCTGACGATTGAGTATTTCGATCTGAAAAGCTGGTACAATTGGTGTATCTGCGTAGCGTCATCCTGCAGATGAATGAATTCGCCACTTTATTCAGGTCATTGATGTCACCAAACGGGCACCGGCACACACAATCGTGTCATTAATAAAAAAAAGACGCAGATCGTCAGATGGCCCATGCAAGCAGACCAGACCATGGCGAGATCTCATTTTGGGCCGAGCACCCACTGCCTGTACTCCAGGACGAGCTGGTACACCTTCTCACGGGGCGGGTACGTTCGCCGCCACGCTGTCCCGGCGCGCGCATCATGGCGCCCACTCATTTTGGGCCGAGCACCCACTCCTGTACTCCAGGACGAGCTGGTGGCGCCTTCTCGGGCAGCGAACACGCGGCCGCCACGTCGACCCGGCGCGCGCATCGCGCCGAAGAACCACGCCGCCGAGCCCGGCGTCCAGCGCCACGGCGAACCGCCCGTGGCGCCCGTACCTGAGGAACCACGCAGCGAACGGCGCGGCCGCGACGTCGACGAACACAAACGCCTCCCGCCGAAGAACTCCCGGCCGCCGAGCTCGGCGTCCAGCGCCCGGAGCACAGCAACCCGCCCGCGCCTCGGGGGGTCGGCTCCGCGGCGTCGCTGGAAGTCGCGCCTACTCGCCATGATGAGCTTCCCGCAGTGGTGGGCGCCCCGCGTGGAGGAGCACCGGCACCTTGCCGCCGAGCGACGGTGGCAGCGGTGGGGCTGGGGATCCTGGGCACGTGGAGCCCCAAGGGTCTTCCTCAAAAATTTTTGCATATATGTATTACAAAGGAGAGGTTAAGGTTAAGTGAAGATAAAAAAACCTCTATTTTAATTTGTTCAGCCGGAGCTGGAGAAGCTCGTTTTTTTTCTCCTCCGCCTCCAGCTCCTGCGCGCTACAGTTACGCTATAGTGTGGAAGCCAATCCCGCCGGCCAAACGCGCCCTTAGTTTTGTCCAATCTTTGAAACATAGAAATGTTAAAATGTTTTTTCTACCAACCAGCATGCTCGCTTGCTCGTATACGATCGTGGATTATAAGCTAGAACAGTATTTTTCTTTCACACCAAATCAGCCAGCAGTAAATAATCCACGATCGTTTACGGCCTGCCGAACAGGCTGTAATTTGTCAACGTTGGGCCTGTTTGGCAGGACTGAAAAATACTGTTTCGGCTGATTGTTGTGAGAAAAAATACTGTTCTGGCAGAATGTGAATAGTGATTTTGTGAGGTGGCTGGCCAGCCGGCAATCAGCCAGCCACCCAGCCAAACACAGCCGTTAAACCTTAAAAACTTAGGAAAAAAATAAAGTTAGCTACAAATTTGGAAGAAAAGGAGTACTAGTAGCTATAAGCCGAGAGGCTAATGACGGTGGACCATCCGATCGCTGTCAGCTCAAGTCAATAAACGAAGAAAATACATGTTTCGATACAGTGGTTTATACAGTAGCATCTATGGTTATATTTCCAAACCACGTGCCTCGGAAACCAATGGATTTGTCATAGACGGATAGACCTGTCCTGATGCTGCTACCCTGCTACTTTGACCAAGCCGGAGAGGAGGTAGGTAAAAGATGCACTCCAACTGAATGCGGCGGCGACTGAAGAGAAGGGAGCAGGAAGCGGGAAAGATGAGGATGAACCATGGGCTGGTCCAACCCGGAAATTAAAAAGACGGCCCAATGTAAAGTACACAGGCCCCAACCGGACCACATGAAGTCCAACACAGTCCATGTTCTTTGCTAAAAAAAACCCATGTTCGCACGGTGTCGTGGAGATCTCGTACAACCAATGTTCCTACTCCCCTCCATTCTAACACTCTGTTTGGTTCTACAGCAGTCAACGCAAACGAAAATAATTTAAGCCTGCAAACGACGGCAGCTACAAATGAACTAATTTTTATTACATTTGCGTTACTGTGCACATTACTAAACAGCACCAACTTTAAATCGTTGTTTGTACTCCCTCTATAGTGACAAGAATACAATTCTAGATTTAAATCAAAATTTAAAAACTAAATTAGATTATAATAGTATTAATATTTATATCTTCAAATAGATTTTACTATCTATGGTTATTTAATAATACTTATTTAGTATCATACATATTTGTATTTTTTATATAAATTTAGTTAAATTTAAAACTGTTGGACCAATCGAAAAGTGGGAATATTTTTTTTATAAAGTATATATTGAGCTAGTTGGCTGGCGATCGCTAGTGTTCGTCTGCAGCTTAGTTAAAGTTAAAATATTTTGGAGCGCAGGGAGTAACGTGGACTGTGTGTTTGACTATCGTAAGACCCTAACAGAGATCTGGGCAGCTGCAGCTGGCGAGGTAGAGTCAGAGACGCCGAGTTCCGAGACTTCGAGAGACGAACCGGGATGATGGCGCTGCTGTAGTTGCGACCTGCGAGTCTGAGTATGTGTAGAGACGACGAGGCTCGAGACTTTGAGACATGGAACCGGCACCATGTCGCCATCACATCCCAAATGCCAAATGCTCCAATGCAACGGCGCTATTGAAGGAGAGTGCTGCCAGCGCATCTCCAAAGCACACAAGCACCAAAGGCGACGAACTGAAGACGTTACCAAGAAAATCCAATACAAACCATTTATTCAGGTCCGCTACGTGCACGAGGCAACACGGCGCTGCCGCTGCACGTACTACGCCAGACGACAGATCTTACAAGGACGCACAACAACTCAACCCAAGCACACACAACACAACAGCGACGAACTCACGAACACGACTGCTCTGCTGCCTTATCTGCTGATCACCTACCAACAGAACCATGAAACACTGTTGGCCCGCAATCCAAATCCTACTCGATGCCGAGGCTCTTCTTCCACCCGCAGATGAACTCATAGACCTTCTCAGGCGGGTACAGGTTCTTGGCGACGCTGGGGCGCTCGGCGCAGCGCTTGGCCCACGCGGCCAGCCTGGGGCACTCCTTCTCGACGCTGAGGTCCCCGAACCGCTCGTAGGCGACGAACCACGAGGTCAAGGGCACGAGCGCGACGTCGACGAAGCCGAACGCCTCCCCGCCGAAGAAGCGTCCCTCCCCGAGGGCGCCCTCCAGCGTGCGGAGGATCTCGACCATCTCCGTGCGCGCCTGCGCGTGGCCGTCCCCATTGAGCTTCCACAGCCGGGTGCCGCAGTCGTAGAGCTTCTTGTCCACGTAGTCCGCCCAGAACCGCGCCTGAGCGCGCGCGTACGGGTCGCCGGCGGGGAGCAGCGCCGGCGTCGCCGGGAACGCTTGCTGTCACGGCGTGCGTCATTGTGGAGCATCCCTTCTTGCGATCCAGCACGCCGCTGTGCGTGCTCGAGTGTAGGAGAGCCCTTCGTCCAGCGCGATGGACGTCGATCCTCCCCGGCCATCTCTGCTAGCCTTCTTATTGCTCGATGCCTCTGCTGTGTGTGCTGATTTCCTTGAGCATCGTCCCGGCAAGATGCTAGATGTAGGCGTTGATGAGGGTTCTTGCTTTATTAATGCAGCAAGCAGCATCTGGAGGCTCGGCCTCCGCGTTTGTGTTAATGCTTGCCGGGATATTGTGACACACATAGCGGCAGCGGTAGCGCTGAATAAGTTCTAGATCAGCCCAGAGCCCACGGAGGATCTGGGCAGGGATATGCTTTATACGGCGTCTACGTAGCCACGCTGGTGCGGAATTAAGCACGCCACCGTTTCTGGTGAGAAGAAAAAACAGAGTACTAGTACCTCACACACGTTGGGCTCCGCTTGCTGTCACGGCGTGCGTCATTGGTATCCCCTGCGATCCAGTATGTCGTGTTGCAGTGCGTCCATGGAGCGCCCGCGACGTCGATCCTAGCCATGCCTCTGCTGTGTGCTGATTTCCTATCGTCCCGGCAAGTGCAGGTAGGCGTGTACGTGCAGCAAGCATTCTCTCTTTGTCTTGCCGGGGACACACAAAGCGGCAGCGGTGGCCGGCCGGCCACAGCCCAGAGCCCACGGAGGATCTGGGCAGGGGATATGCAATATGGGGTGACGTAGTGCACTTGTGCGAAATCTGCACCCAAAGAAGAAAAAACAAGAGTACTAGCACCTCACACACGGGCTGCGCCTAGGCGCGATGGTATGTCGTATTGTTTGCTGGGTCGTATATACCATCGTGATTATAAGTTGCACCAGTATTTTTCTCTCATATTAAACCAATCAGCAGTATTTTGATTTATAATCCACGATCGTTTTAGCCGAAACGAACAGCCTGTTGGAAACCGCACACTGAATATGAACTTTTGAATCTCAGACCCAACTTCAATCCATGTTGAAAGAAGAAGACGGGTACTATTCTTTACAGAAAAAACGTGCATATACGATACGTGTAAGCGTCGCGTATGAACGCATGCTGTGTATCCTGTTCCTACGAGCATCACTCAAAGAAGTAGACACGGTAAGTACTAAAATTGATGAAGGCACCCTAAATGTTTTGCTGTCGACGAGCTGCTACTGACGGATATATCGTCTGCCACTAAAAAGAATTACGTTGTTAAATCCTTAAGTAAAAGCCATAAAAATGTGAATGCCTCACCGAGCCAATAGATCTCTATGTAAGCCACCAGAGGTATCAAACTGTCGATGGATATTGTCGTCTACCATTAAAAAACAGTGTATTTAAGTCCTAAAATAAATAAAAAAGACTCCTTTTATCAAATAAATACTATTAGTTTCACTGGTAAACAAATCATTTATTTGATGCCATAAATATCAATATTTTTTCTTTAAATTTAATCAAGCTAAGACATATACTCTCTTCATTTTAAATTATAAGATGTTTTAGTTTTTTAAGACACATTCTCGGATGTACACTATGTCTAAATAAATACATAATAAAACAATATACTTAGAAAACACAAAACGTCTTGTAATTTGGAAAGGAGCGAGTATCAACCAGGAACGATAGCTTTCAATTTAAAGGGAACGCCGAGGCAAGGCACACGGCAGCCAACTCATCATCAACTTAAAAGTTGTATCAAGAATGTCCCTAAGTTTCCAGTTCCGGTACGTTTTTTTCGGATAGACTGTGGTTTCCTAGTTTCCTACAACCTCTCGCCGTTAATCGATCTCTCAGTCTCCCTTTCGCAATCGGATTCGCAATCCATAGATGAGATTGCATTTCTGCCTTTAGTTTTATATATACAACTAGAAAACCGTGTACCGCTAGCTAGTCTGTATTTATATTAAACCAGGGGGGGCGGCAGCAGGGGCCATGCAGCCCCCCCCAACAATACAAACTTTTTCTATAATATATATAGTTTAATACTCTATGTTTATATTAAATGGATATAATAAATAAAAATATTATTATATGTCTACTAATATCCTCTTGACAATAAAATTGAATAGAATGAATTACAATAAATCATTTTAATTTATCTAAATTTATTTGTCTATCATATTAGGACACACACACACACACACATATATATATATATATATATATATTGAAATTTTTGGTTCTACTAGAATATTTATGTTTATTATACTTTATATTTTACTCAACGCATACTTAACTAGCAATAATAATTCGGTGATCATCTCTTTTTATTGTGAATCAAATTATAGATGTAGACGCTCACATACCCGCATGCATGCTCACTTCTACAAACAAACACACATCATACTCCACTATGATCACTTTCGAAATACTAAGACGGTAGATTTTAAGATTCATGAGTCATCACATGCACCCCATTGTCGACAGAACAGTCACCTATCATGGATGTGAGCACTTCCGAAATACTGAGGGGTAGATTTTAAGATTCATGAGTCATCGTATGCTCCCTATTGTCGACAGACATAGTCGTCTACCACGGGAAAAATGATGAACATGGTTTAATCATCAAATACTAGAATAAATCCAGAAAAATAGAGCTTAACCCTGGAACAAAATTCTAAACAATTAAGGTACACTCCGTTCTCATATATTGAAACTCTTTGACCAGCCCTTCTTATGCATAATTTATGACTCCGCCACTCTGCTAGTATTTATTGCTTTTGGTGTTAGTTTAATCCGTGTCTTTTCCAACGCCAACGAGAAAGGAAATAGAACCTCACATCTTTTTTCTAGCCAGCTATGGTGTTTATCTGCATCAACATAAACGATTGCATCAGCTCCATGAGCACTTGTTTTTTTATTCTTCTTCCTGGTAATCACCAATGAGAAGCGATTACGACATGGAGGGTCCCTTTGGACTGCTGCTAAAGATAGATCTTTTATTTTAAAAAATCTTTGGGCTACCCTCATATCACTGGCCTGAATAATGTTTGGCAGAATTATGGACGATCTTATAGCAACTCCAAGAGTTGCTATTCTTGTTCTAAAGTCTAATTTAGAGTTTCTGAAGAAGAAATCAACCTCCAACAGATCCTCTATCCGGTATTCTAAATTAGCTCGCTAGCTATTCCGTTTTTTCCGGTCGCTAGAAAAAGCCAGCCGGGGGCGCTCACTATCCGCCTCCCCGCTACCGATTCCTCACAAGACGCCGAGTGTCCTCGTCCCCTTCCTCGAGTGAGGCCCTCGGGTGGCTAGACGCCGTCCCCATCTCCAATGCTCACTGCGATCTGCCAGTGGCGCTACCGGCCGGTCCCCGAATCACGCCTGCAACACCGCATCGCGTCCAGCCGCTGCGTGATCGCGACACCCCGCGTCGTCGTCGCCTCCCGGATCTAGATTGCATCCGTGAGTCCCGAGACAAAGATCATGAGGGACATGGCCATGCACGCACGTCGTCGCCGCCCTCGGTGTCGCGTCGGAGACGCTACTCGCTGGCTGCTTGGGATCGGAGGACGCCACTGCCGGTGGAGGCGTGCCTCGGCATGCCCGCTTCAAGCATCGCCGCCTCTACGACCTACACGACCGACGACCGGCTGCGGGCGGCGATTCACGCCGCAGCGAACGAGTATCTATGCTGCGGTAAGCCGACGCGGCCATTGTGGAACCGCCGGAGAGAGCCTGCAGGTGTGCTTGTCCATCACCAAGCAACAGGCAAGGATGCTTGCAGCATGAACGAAGGCAGACGAGTAGCGCAAAGCAAACGCTGCAATTCTGGAGGAGCAAGCAGGTTGCTTGCTTTGCTCTCTGGCTGCCTTGCTCCGCCTTTGGGTCGGGACCCGGTGACATGGCACGCTTTTGAATATGGTGACATGGCACGCTTTTGAATATGGAGGAACGCAAATTTTACCAAGTCTCTTGGACTGTCTGATTTTTTTTTGAGAGAGTTCTATTTTAGAGAATAGCTAAATCAAAAAATTTAGGAAAAAAATTTGGCTAATCTCTTGGAGTTGCTCTTATGTCGAGAACTTTCCATCTTTTGGGCTCTGATCTCGAGTTCTGTGAACGACCTTATGGGCCCAAACGAGCCCGACCTCGGGCCGAATCTCCAACCCATCTAAAATCCCAAACGCCAGCCTCCGAGGCTCCCAGCGAGAAACGACCCAGTCCTGTTAACAGACGCTCGAGTCTTGAGTCTTGACCGAACCGGATGGAGTCGTGTGCCGCCGCGTGCGACTCGACTCCGCCACTCGGGTAGTCGGGTGGGTCAGGTCAGCCTCCCCGAAACTCCCTTGGACGCGGACGGAGCCCGGGTTAGTCAGCCGTCCGCGGTCCGCCGCGTGCCGTGGGCGGCTCGGCTGTCGGCTGGGCTGGGCCTGGACGCTTCTCTTCTCTTCTCTTCTCCGTTGGACGGAGCAATCGACGTGGGGAGAGAAACCGCGGCCGCCCACGCCCACCTGATCGTGCCGAACCACTGCCGGCGCGGCGCAGCTCACGCCATGGCAGCAGGTTCGTCGACGCCCTCCATGTCGGACCTTCCCCTTTCCTGTCGTGCTCACCCGTGTCGTGTCTGATTGATCGGTTGCGTGCGTCGCTGATGCGATCTGGCCGGCGGGCTGGTTGGTCGTCAGGTCGCCGGATGAGGGTGAGGGTGGGGAATCGGTCCAATTCGTGCCCGATGTCGGCCCGATCGGTGGTCCGTTTGGGTTTGGGAGGTCCGCGGCGGTGGGCGCATGCGGTCGGTTAGGCTGTGTGGCGGTGCTTGGGGATCCTCATGCTCCGGTGAATGTTCTGGGGGGAAGGGCTCTTGGTTTCGCACCGAGGGTCTCACCAGGGCTGTTGCTAGATATGCTACTCCGGCTGTCCGGCGAAGGAAAATCGACGCTTTTAAGATAAGGGCACGCGCAAAGACTAAGTGTCAACCTTGACGGATTGTTTAGCTTACGATGAACTTGCTGCCTTCCAGGATGGCTTTTAGCTAAGGTGTGAGCTTCTGCGGTTTCAAACGCAGCTGCGCTTGTTGTGATCCTGTATTTCATAGAGAAACGGGATAGGTTTATGAGCTTTAGTCTTGTGGTTGCAATGATGCCACCATTTGTCCTTTGTTATTTCTTCGCTAGATGTAGGTACAGTCCATCTGAATCATTTGGTGATATAGATGTTTAGTACAAGTGTAGAAGTAATGTAAAACCTAGGGTGACAACTGACAAGTCTAATGGGTGTGTTATATACTTATATATTGTCAAAAGTCATCAACATATGCTTGGCAAGCACTAATATAAGCATTCTGGTATTTTGTGATGCTTTGATTGCTTCTCTTGTTCATTTAATCCATATTTCCTGTTCCTTGAGATCCATAGTTTAACATTACCTGTCCTTCTATGTATTAGTGATGTATGTGGCATCTGTGATGTACATTACCTAGTACCTACATATTGAAGAACCAAAAGATTGAAGTCTCACTGTGTTTGCGGGCTTTGGTTTTACACATGTTGCAAATGCAAGTAATGATCCGGCCATCAGGCCTTGAACTAGTGCTTG